GCTCTGACTGAGCGTTCCACAGTCATCGGTGATTTCATACCTATTGGTTGTCTATACTTTAACTTCTTCGGATTAAGTATTTTGAGGGAACCAAATACTTTTAAGATACTTTAAGTGTTCAAAAAAGTTTGTTTCACGCTTAATTTAAACAACAAAACTACAAAAATGTATGCAATATGTTATCAGGTGAATTTTATTTTTTTTTCCCGTTGGTTGCTATGGTGACAAAAATACAAGTTAGGATTATAAAACATTAATTATGGATATACTTCTAACAATGAATTTCTCATATATATACATGTGCATATTAATTTAAGGGCACAATTTACTGTGAACAATGGAAATTATTAATTCTTTATGTGTACGGCAAAACTAATTCAAACAAATAATCCTGCGCAAGTTTCTCATCTACCTTCATGAGACATTTTCTTACAAAATATAAACTACTAAATTTATTGTCAGTAGCATAAGACATAAAATTTTATTTTTCGAAGTATAATTTCCAGAAAGCGGATAAGTTGTTATATTATTATTATTATTCCCTTTAATTCCTAAAGGAACATAAGGTTTCAGCCTCACCTCTCCATTGCATTCGGTTCTCCACCAACGTTCTCACCTGGCTCTATATCTTACCACATGCTTTCATCTCCTCTCCACATTACCTCTTCCTCCACGTCACCCTCACACCAACTACCAACTCGCCGCTTCCCATTCGGGTTCCACTTGAGCAATCGCCTAGTGTGTGATATCACTCACTTGATGATTTGTTTTCTCAAGGTATGGCCAGCCAATCCACCTCCATTTCTTCCTGCATATTTGTTGCACAATCGGTTCCTCTTGGGCTGGTTCGTTGGTTCATTGCCAGAGATCCCTGTTGCTGATCTTTTCTTGAATGGTATTAGGTGAAGACAGCTGCTGAAGAAGATCTGTAGTTGGCTTTCGTGACACACCAAGTCTGTGATCCTTATAATAAGCAGCACTGAGTTCACATTGGAGTTGAAAATCTGGATCTTATTTTTCATGCTGAGTGCTCACTGTTGACTTCCACACAGACTTGAAAGTAATGAAAGCTTGCCTTGCTTTCCCCAACCTCGCTTCATATCCTAATCAGTTCTGTCCGCCTGAATAGTTCAGTGGTAAAGTATCTGAGTGAAGTACTCACTGGGTGACGAGGGTTCGAATCTCAGGAGGGAAGTGACTTCCTTCGAGGTTGCAAATAGGTCTTGCTGATGAGTACCAACTAGCAAGAAACCTAGGTCTAAGGCAGGTGAATATAGAGAAGACAGAGGTGATGAAGATAACCAACCAACGAACAGCAACAACGATAACAACAACAACTAGCACCAATCACCACCAACGGGAGAGATTTAACAGAGGTTACACCTCCTTCACTTATCTAAGAAGCATCGTTCCAACTACAGGCAGTCTGGACGGATGATGTCAAATTCAGTCAGCGAGAATCGAAAAGGCAAAGCAGCACACCTTCATCAACCTGAAACCAATTTGGAAATATTCTACACTCAACACAAGGAACAATATTCAGATTTTCAACACCAATGTCAAGTTGGTCCTGCTATACGGGTGAGAAACTTGCACTGTGTGTCACGAAAAGGATTTCCAACAGCCTACTGCATGCAGACTTTTATCCAGTGGTCTGTAGTTGGCATTGAGATACGAATATGAACATGACTCTAAGAACCAATTCCAGCAGGCCGTGTATGGCCGGTCTCAAGCGATTGTCGTCAGATACTCCAAGAAGAAATCGATTTCCACGGTGTGAACAGCTGGGAGGTAACAATCGTTCACACATTCTGATCTTGGTCATCACCCAACTTCATCTCCATCACTCTCACCATCTTGCTTTCCTCCTGCTGTTGATACCTTTCCAAAAGTAGGTGACTCATCTTCTCTCAAATATACGACCACTGACCGCGATTAGAACCGGATGGTCGTATGTGTACTGTCCGACTGGATTAGAAGATTATAATACCGGTCAATGTCTTTTCATAATCTCCGATTACTCCTCCAACAGACTTTACTCCGGACAAAATAAAGGATGAGTTCTATTCAAAGCTGTCTTGTTTGCTGCTGTAATAGCAAAAATCTCAGATATAGTCGTTCTAACAGGTGACTTCAGTGGTGCTCAAGCAGAGAAGTATACTGGCACCACCTATGGCTATGGAGTTCCATGCCGATGAACTGACAATAGTGATCGTATTGCATAGAGTTCTTTTCAGATAATCATCTGTTTATGGTCAGCAATAACTTCAATCATAAACAGGGACATTACCTAACCCGGAGATCTACATCATCAGATCAACGACGGATTCAAACTGACCATCTATCGACAAACTGCCAGTGAAGAGTGTCGGCAGAAGACTGCCACTCACTCTAGAACACCTGTGTGGACACATATCACGCCCTACGCCATGCAAGTATATAAGACTGACAACAAGACGCATACGAAGAAAACTTGCCATGACGTTTAGTCGGCTGTTAATAACATTGTGCATTGATGAAACTTTCTTCTTTCCATCCATTTCTCATGGACACACCAACGTGATTATATTTCAAGGATAAACGCATAAATACTGTATGCAAGCAAATGTGAACATAAAGGATGTCGACATTAGATTACACAGAGTCGTAAGCTAGTAAATAATTGAAATTCCTCAGTATTATGAAGTAAACATAGCCGCCTCCATTGAACGACTTGCCACGACCAAGGGTGAAAAGACTTCGGTCCTCCATTTGAAATGCTCTTATGTTATTTATTTTACTTAAATATTGGTTTTGTAGGGACTTTTGTTTAATTGGCTGGAGGATTTCATTATGATAAGCTGAAATCAGTTAGAGAACCATTGGAAAACCAGTCAGGGAGCACATGATAGCAGCTGTTTCATCAGCCTAGTTTGGGACTCTTCATCTGCACGCACCCACCCACCCACCCACCGGGATTCGAACCCAGGACCTTCTGGTTACAAGGCGAGCTAGCTCGTAGACCATTAAGCCACTGGGAATCGATTTAAAACACAGAACCTGGTACAATATAAGCATCAAGAAGATGCACCATACAATAATAACGAAACAACAATGTATAAAGAAAATAGGGAGAGAATAAATAAAAGACTTCATCCAGAAAGGAAGCCGCTATATTTAACAAGACCAAACAACATTCATGGTATTACTGTCACGCAGGAAGAAAGAAGGAAATTGTAGCACATCCACCAGTGACTAAGATTCTTGGCTATTTCGGATAACTTTTGGAGCCCCCGATTTGAGCTATCTCTCAGACCCTAACCTGGAAATCGTGATGTACTGACCGACGCTAACCTAGGGCACAAATATTCTTCATCCCAGTACGCCAAGTCATAGGTTGATCACACCACTCCATTTTTACCATCCTGTCCCAGGACTAGCGAACAGAGACCAGTACGATAGCCTCTGGGAAGACGCCACCGACGGCAAGCGTTCATAACCCCCAACAAGTAAGTCCTACTACACTGCCTTCACGCGCATGGCAGGAGCGTTCCACACAAAAGTGGAACTGGTAAATGCAAACGTCTGGTTCTTACAACCGAACTCGTGGATATGTCAGTCTACCTAGTTGGGGAGCTGGAAAATTCTAATTCCAACCAAACCTATGATGTACATGGGCTCTAGAATCCAATAGGATCGAATGATATGTACGAACCTGTCTATTTCAGTCACGAGGAATCATGAAGACGCAACACCACTCACTCCTGACTGTGGCAGTGGTCCCAGTTCGGTCTGTGCATTCAGACACGAAGTACCCAGCTTCGTCGGACAAACTATGATAATCTATAGCTAATGGAAGTGTGCTTAACTGAACTTAACGACTTAGGAATCGACTTGTTACCAGGGTATAGTCTTATGGACTTAGAATACGCAGATGATAAGGGAGGATGCTGACAAAATGCAGAGTCTTCTGAACACCTTGAGCAGCAACCTTCGTATGTTTGGCATGGGATTCGTCCCTGAAAAATGTAAGATGCTTCTACAGGACTGGACTACGTCATCTCCTAGCTAAGTGATAGGGAGTGAAGTGATAGAAAATGTTGACCACTTCACCTATTTGGGAAGTTGTATCAGCATCAACGAATTGATTGGTGACGAAATCTCAGCACGGATCCAAAAAGCTCGGGCTGCTTTCGCTAACTTACACCGTCTCTGGCGTAGGCGGGATATCCGGCTATCAACCAAGGGACGTATGTACTGCTCAGCACTTCGCTTTGTCCTTCTATATGGCTCTGAAACATGGCCAATACGAGTTGAAGACATGAAATGGTTGACTGTTTTTGATCATAGATTTCTACGATCTCTCTCTCACGTTAGGTGGCAAAATAAGGTAAGTAATGTTGACGTTAGGCGTAGAGTGTTCGGCAAAGAGGGAAAATCAATCGAAGAGGCTATAAAGCCACATAGATTGAGATGGCTAGGTCACGTGCTGCGCATGCCTGACAATTGCCTCCCCCGACGGACGGGCATTACTAGCTGATATAGGTACAGGTTGGAAAAGAGTAAGTGGTGGCCAAACAAAAACATGGCATCAATCCATGAAATCCTTGACAGTTAAACTGAGTCAGGTAGGGAGATGCAGACTTCCGGGTTGGGGCCCGCCCTCAGGACTCTAAGAATCAATGGCTGGAGACAATAGGTGACATGGCTCAAAATCGCTGTCAATGGCTAACGCAGATGTTTTCAGTCTCTGTATTTCTTCATATTCCTTTCTACCATTACTCATTCTGTTTCACTCTTATACTTATCAAAAGTCTATTGATTCTCTTCACTCATCTTCTTGTCTTCCTTCGTGTGCTATTTGTAAAGTAGCAACTCGAACTGATGCACTTCGGTGCCAAGTTCTATGTTGAATCCAGACAGACATGATACTCTATGTGGAGCACCTCTATTGGTGTCCTCCATAGTAATAATTTTCAATAATCTAAGTTTTCCTCAATCAGATATAAAAAAAACATTTACTCACGATAAATAAAATTCTTAAAAATAAAAAATTAAGCAAAAAATAAAAACAAGTATGTACAATGTGAAAACGTATTTGTGTCAACAAAATCAATCAATCAATCAATTAATTTGTTCCACAGGTAAACAATTTAATCTCTTTGTTTTGACAAGCTAAGCGGATTGTATTCACAATTTTTGTGAATAACTCCTCTGAATCTAATGAAGACGACAACGACGATGCTGTTGTGATGACTTTAAGCTATCCAACCTTGAAAGAAATGAATCTACACTGGTCTCTGTGATACGTTCAATTGCTTTCAAACTTGCATCTGACGTATTGATAGGTAGAGTAATCTGAAGAAATTGAAAAAAAAGTAAGCGAATAATCACGCATTGATCATTTAATTGAAAAGGATAACAATAGTAATAATAATAATATGGTACCATCTTTTATTTCGTTGCCTTCTTGTCAGCTGCTTACAGGGCAAAGACATTATTAAATGTATCTACAAAAACAATTTTAACATACTTGCACAGACAGTTCATTTTAAACAAAAATCACTAGCCATAGCCTATCCTGCAGCTAAGCTTGTTCCCGCCTTTCGAACAACTTGCTCTCTGGTGCAATCAAAAATCGATAGGTATCCTTCTCATGTTAACTCCAACTGTATACACAAATTTACATGTATCTGTGGGAGCAGTTACATTGGAAGAACAGAATGAAGAAGGGCATATCTACGATTTTCTGAACATGTACCAAAAAGCTTACGTCTAAAGGGAACAAATGCTTTAAACAGTGCCATCGCCAGGCATCTTCTTGACACGGGTCATGAGGTGGACGTTGCAAGATAGTTCAAAATTATCAATAAGCAAAAGAGTTCAATTCTCCTCAAGTTTGCTGAAGCCATTTCCATCAAGCTCCTGAAACCTGATTTGTGCGTTCAGAAAGAATCGGTTATCAGTCTTTCTTTGCCCTGGTAACTGGATATTTCCATCTCTCTTTCATCTGAATGCGAGATACTGAAAAGTTTTCATTGTGCATGATTATTATTGTTCGGAATAGTGTTTAATATTGCATATACGTATGTATATATTATTAGTGTATGCGTATATTGATCGATTGATTTTTGTTTAAAATGAACTCTCTTCAAGTATGTTAAAATTGTTTTTGTAGAAACATTTAATAATGTCTTTTCCCTGTAAGCAGCTGACAAGAAGGCAACGAAATAAACAATGATGGTACCATTATATTCTGTTAAAACTTTAGTTCTTGCTTTGTTCAAATTCATTAAGGGGAATAAATGTATGAAATAAAAATAATGATATAAGTAGTATCCCACAGTAAGTAGTAGTGTGTAAGCGGGAACTATGACTGTTGCTTGCTAATGTGTAGACAACTGATATCTACTCTTGTCAGCTGCTGATTCTCGCACTGTCAAAGCACTTGAAGTCGTGACACTACCAGTTTTTGTCAACTCCGTTGTAGATAAGATTTTATTTTGATGAATCACACAGTGGTGTTATACAGTAATATTAACTGATGACCACATTTCAGACAAAAATTATTGCCACTCATGATCATATCAAGTTACTCACACAACTTTTTTTTCTTTCATTTGTATACATGTGTAATAAAAATCAATATGAGATAATGTACATTCAGAGATAATAATATGAGTGTTATTGATCAATTAGGCGTCGGTGGTATAGTGGTTAGGGATGCTCGCCGACCATGCACATAGTCCGGGGTTCGATCCCCGGCCGACGAGGCACTCCTTTACCTCGCTAAACCAGAAATAAAAAAGCTGGTAAAGGGGTAAGGTTGGGCATGAGGCTAGCAACCTCATCCTATAAAAATAAACACTGCTAAAGAAACTTCAAGCCTCTAGCTTGAAGCCCTATGTTCCACTGGGAACGTGAAGGAATAAAAAAAAAATTGATCAATTACAATCAGATGGGAAATAAGACGAATGTTTTTATAGTCATAATAAGTAACTTGTTAGGAATCTTAACATAAAGCAGGAATTTGGGTGGCATTCAAACCTACAAACTCACTCAGGTAGAACAAGCTCTGTAGGCTAAAAGACCCGGTGGACCTAATTAAACAAAATAATATAATATACAAAATACCCTGCAATGAATGTGAGTTAGGTCAACTACATAGGTCAGTCAAACTAATAGATCGGGAGGTAATCAGATTGGTGGAACATAAGAATTTGGCTAAGGTAAGAATGGTTGACCCCAAGAAGATAAGTAATTTAGAAAAAAGCTCAGACATAGCACTGTATGCATTGACACACAACCACACAATAGGGTGAATGGGAGAAGGTTCTAAGAAGTAATCTATTTAGGTGGAGAGATTGATTACTGAATCCTGGTTCATCGAGTGAATCTACACCCAACACATGCAACAGAAATGACTCAATGCAAATATCAGAAATATGGGAGATATTATCACCACCAGTCAAATCAGAGGAGGAGAATAATTAATATTAAAATACTATTTCAATTCAAGCACATCACAACATTCTAACAAGTTACTTATTATGACTATAAAATCACTCGTCTTATTTCCCCTCTGATTGTAATTCATCAATAACACTCATATTATTATTTCTGAATGTACATTATCCTATACTGATTTTATTCCAATATCTGGTGAATTCCACACATGTATATAAGTGGAGGAAAAATGTTGTGTGAGTAACTGGATATGATTATGAGCAATAGTTTGTGATCGAAACGTGGTCATCAGTTAATATTACTGTGTAACACTGTGTGATTTATCAAAATAAAATCTTATCCATAATGGAGTTACAATCTACCACAGTGCCCAAGTTTTATACTTATATCAGTTTCTGTCAAGTTTGGCAAGAGAACAATTCCTCGCTGATGATGACATACGTTGGCGGTTGTGCTATACATATCTCGAAATATGTAGAAGTTGCAATTCATGCGTCACTGGATCGAGTTCGAGTTCCACTGGTCACTCTCTTGTAACCGTAAGGTACCTTGGGTCTGGACCCCGGCGCTAGGACGAAACAGCTGCCCAAACAGCTGGATTACCGAAAACTTCCATCAATGCATTGCATATAGTTTTTCTTTTATTCATTTTGTTTAAATCTACTAAAATATGACCTCTAACAGTGTTGTTTACTCTGGCGAGTATTTAAAATATTTACAACCAGAGGTTTCGCAAGTGTCTACTACACATGCGAAAAAGCATTATCCACCATGGTAACTGATCCGAGTACATGAGATGACCGTTTTTCATTTGGTGTCCTTGATTGACAAAATGTACTCCTGAACTTCTCCTACTTGAAATTCAACATAATTATGTCGTGTGTTTCTTGAAGGGTGAAAAAGAAGAGATCGTTACGAACCGACGAATTTCAGTTGAAAATATATTTCATTATTCAATATTTTTTCAAAAACCAAAATATTTATGCTCTTGTGATAATGATTTTTTCTAGATTCTGATTCCACTTTCAGTGGCCATGTCTCACTTACAGTCTCAAAGGAGGACAGAACGAACTGCTGAGCAGTACACACGCCGTTTGGTCGACAGCTAGACAGCCGGATATCACGTCTACTAAACCAGAGATGGCGTAAATTGGCTAGCAAACACGCTGAACGAGCCTTCTGTATCCGTACTGGGATTTTAATATATGTGTAAAACTTGGGCACTGTGGTAGTAAGTAATTCCATATTAGTTTGTTTATTAGGTATATCACATAGTGAAACAGTATTATTTACTGTAAATAATACTGTTTCACTGTGTGATATACCTAATAAACAAACTAATATGGAAGTACTGGGATTTTATTCAGCGATCAGCTGGCTGGCATTGGTTGATGCAACTCCCCAAAACAAGTGAAGTGGTCAACACGCTCAGCCACACCACTTCACTCCCTCCCTATCTTTAAGCTAGGAGTGAGTCAATGTAGTCCAGTCCAGTCCTGTAGCATCACATTTACATCTGACAGGAGTGAATCGCATACTGCTGGATTTTGTCAGTGTCTTGACCTAGAAGGAGTATATCATACGTATATTCTAAGCCAACAGGATGAAATGGAGATGTGTTGTTGAAGCCCTGAGTTTCACTCTAACCCAAGGGAATGATGATACCTTGATAATGGCTTTTCATCATTCTATTTGTGACAAATATAATCATCATTTGTGTAACACTGAAAACAGTAGAATTGCGTCGGTGGCACAGCGGTTAGTACGCTCGCCGACCATGCGCACATGGTCCGGGGTTCAATCCCCGGCCTACGAGGCATTCCTTTACCACGCTTGCTAAGCCAGAAATAAAAAAGCTGATAAAGAGGAAAGGCTGGGCATGAGACTGGATGTCAACCCTATCCTGTAAAAACAAAAAATTAATCACCGCTGCTACAGAAACTTCAAGCCTCTAGCTTGAAGCCCTCGCTATGTTCCACTGGGAATGTGGATCCAAAAAGCTCGAGCTGCTTTCGCTAATTTACACCATCTCTGGCGTAGGCGTGACATCCGACTATCAACCAAGGGACGTGTGTACTGCTCAGCACTTCGCTTTGTCCTTCTCTATGGCTCTGAAACATGGCCAATACGAGTTGAAGACATGAAAAGGTTGACTGTTTTTGATCATAGATGTCTACGATCTCTTTCTCACCTTAGGTGGTATAATAAGGTAAGTAATGTTGGGCAAAGAGGGAAGATCAATCGAAGAGGCCATAAAGTTACATAGATTGAGATGGCTAGGTGACGTGCTGCGCATGCCTAACCATCGCCTCCCCCGACGGACGGGCATTACTAGCTGATATAGGTGCAGGTTGGAAAAGAGTAAGTGGTGGACAAACAAAAACATGGCATCAATCCATGAAATCCTTGACAGTTAAACTGAGTCAGGTAGGGACCCTAAGAATCAATGGCTGGAGACAATAGGTGACATGGCTCAAAATCGTTGTCAATGGCTTACGCAGATGTATTCAGTCTCTGTAATCTTTCATATTCCTTTCTACCATTACTCATTCTGTTTCACTCTTATACTTGTCAAAACTCTATTGATTCCCTTCACTCATCTTCTTGTCTACCTTTGTGTGGCAACTCGAACTGCTGCACTTCGGGTCAAAAAAAAAGAAAACACAAAAAAAAATCATTAGACTTACATCACCCAAAGCGATAGTTAACTCTTTACATAATTGTTTCATTAAATTTTCTTCATTATTTAATAATTCTGTTGTTGTTTTAATTTGACATTTAGTTCTTTGCTCAGCGTTGACAAGATTTTCAACATGTTTACTTAACAAGGCTGTTTCCTCTTCAAGTTGTGAAGCCTAAAATTAATCAGCATAGGAAATCATGGATAATCAAAAAGGTATGAAAAGAGAAAATTACATTTCAAGACATTTTATCTGATAAAAAAGGCTATCTCTCACTTAATTAGATCTCACATGACGGCGGTACGACATGTCAGGTGATCCACAACAGAAAACTAATTCAACGAGGCGTTCGAAGTGCATACAGGAGTAAGACAAGGTTGGTTGGCTGCCTGCCTATTATCACCCCCGACCGATAACTGCTACCTTGCCGTGGTGGTCGGGCTTGAATGCCGCAGTGACCCAACGAGCTAAACTGGCTGGGACTCATGTCCGTGCAGGTCCTACCATCTCAGGAAGGTTGTTTGGATAGCGGTTAGACTAAAAGCAGTTACCACGGGGTACATGGGCTCCAGAATTCAATCGGATCAAATGGCGTATGAACCCATATGGGTCACCGGCAACCATGGGAACGCATCTCCTAACGCTGCTCCGCTGACTTGCGGATTAGACTCCAAGTCAAAGGCTCGGGGGATTGTTCCTTAGGAAAACCACCTGCTTCGGTCTGGGCGCCCGGGCAGTATCTCAGCCCTTACACAATATTGTGTGGCGCATCTTTCTTGGTGCCATATTGTACCAAGTTTTTCTGCGTTTAAATAAATAAATTAAATAAATACTATTATCACCGATGATGATATTCTTAATTGTGGTGAACTGACTGGATTTATGCGTCAGACTGAGTTGGAAGCGAGGAGTCAGGAATACGCTGGACGATCGATAAGAAGACTCTAGAAGATCTGGATTTCGCGCGTGGATGATATATGCCTAATGTCACACAAACTCGAAAACTTGCAGGCAGGCGAAGACTAACAAACTGGCTGAAGCGGCTGGCTGTCAGTGAAGACAGGACTTCAGGTGAACATAGAGAAGATGGAAGTGATGAAGATAACCAACCAACCAACAGCGACAGCAACAACCAGTACCGCTCACCATCAACGGGAGAGATTTGACAGAGGTTACCTCCTCCCTTCACTTATCTAGGAAGCATTGCTTCAACTACAGGCGGAACGGAAAGAGATGTCAAAGCCCACCAGAATAGGAAAGGAAAGGCAGCACACCTTCATCAACCTGAAACCAGTTTGGAAAACTTCCGCACTCAGCCAGCATAAGGAACAAGATTCCATTTTCAACACCAATGTGAAGTCGGTTCTTCTATACAGGTCAGAAACTAGGCCAGCGTGTCACGAAAAGAATTTCCAACAAGTTGCAAAGTTTTATCAACAGCTGGTTCCATAGTGAAGATCAAATGGCTGGCCAGAAAGAATAAGTAACAAGAAACTATGGCAACAAACCAACCAATAGGGAAAATGGAGATGGATGGATGGGGAATACATAAAGGAAACCGTCGAATGATATCGCGCGCCAGGTAAGCGACGAGTGGGTCATCTGTGTGATGGTGACATGGAGGAGATTGTGTGAGGAAGAGATGAGAGAGTTTTGGCAATCGTGGAGATAGCCAGCTGAAGAGGGTGGCAGAAAACAGAACAAAGTGGAGATGTGTTGTTGAAGCCAGCCCTATGTTCCACTCGGAATCCAAGGGAACAATAATAATAATAATTAGATCTCAAAATAGACGAATGGAACGTCGGAGGAGATATCTTGAGGGACAATTTAACTGGTCTACAGCCAGGCTCAACTTGCCATGCACCACCCAACACCTACCTGAATAGGGCAGATACCTGCTGCTTCCCCTACAACTGAGGTTACAAATGCTGTCTCTAACCGGAAATGCGGCGAAGCAGCAAGACCTGATGGAATGATTTCAGAGGTGTTTAAGGACGGTGGTGAAAAACTGATGTCTGGGTTAACTAAGGTAATAGGTAATGTTTGGAAGTCAGATAGGAAGACAAGTCTTCCTGTGATTATAATATATTATCTGAATTTTTAGGTTCAATAATCATGCGCAGACTAAATAGTACCTGGGAGAAACAAATCTGAGAAAACTGGACAGGCTTTAGACCAGAAAGAGGGTCTGTGTGGGTCATATATTCACCCTTAGACAGATTCTGGAACATTGGCATACTTACCGGTGTCCAACAATAACTTGACCTGAAGGTGAAATTCGACTCTGTCAACCGAGAGGTACTATGGCAATGTTTGATTGTGAAGGGAGCGCCAAGATAGTGTACCACAGTAATCAAGGCACTCTAGGTGAACTCACGTAACCGTGTAAGAGCTTATGAAGAGTTACAAACTGAAATGATGACAACCAATGGTGTCCGTCAGGGATGCCCACTGTTTCCATTTCTGTTTAATTTCATCTTATACGCACTATTGGAATTGACCTTAACTCACTTTAGCAACATACAGATTGACTTATTACCAGGGGACAGTCTTGTCGATGATATAGTTCTCCTGTGTGAAGACGCTGATAAAATGCAGTCGTCTGTAAACACACCTTTGAATGTTTGGCATGCGATTCGCTCCCGCCGAATGTAAGATGATGTTACATGACTGGACTACACTCGACTCCTAGCTTAGAAATAGGGAGTGAAGAGTGATAGAGCACGTTGACAGCTTCACTTATTCGGGAAGTTGCATTAGCCAGTGCCAACGGGTTCATCTCTGACGAAATCTCAGCACGGATACAGAGGGCTAGTTTCGCATATGCCATTCTACGCCACCTCTGGCGTAGACAAATAGGAGAGAACAAAGAAAACTTTAAAACTGAAGTTTCAAAGTCGTGTGATTACAATTGATATGATTATGAACAATAAATTTTGTTCGAAACTGTGTCATCCAGTAAATAATACTGTTTCACTGTGTGATATATCTAATAAACAAACTAATATGGAATTTCTGTAGCAGTGGTGATTATTTCTTTTTTACAGGATGGGGTTTCCATCAAGCCTTATGCTCAACCCTTCCTCTTTACCAGCTTTTATTTCTGGCTTGGAGAGGTACAGGAGTGCCTCGTCGGCTGAAAATGTACTACCGAGCATGAAACCTTCGGAAGTTTAGATCAGATAAGCTTCTCTGTAACTTTAAATTTAGTGATTTTTATTAGAAAACTGTAGTCAAAATATATATTGTAGATTATACTAACTTGTTTTTTTAGCTGACGCAAAGTAGCTTCACGAAGTCGATTGTATTCTAAAAATTCTTGAGTGAAAATTGATATTCTAAAGTCATCATCTAGAGTGTTGTTGTTGTTGCCGCCAGGATACATTTGTTTTTGAGGTTTTCTTGATTTTTTACACCCACTTTTTGATGCATTTGTAGCAGCCATCTGATTCGATGCCAGCCAATTCTTGTAACTATCAGTTGTTTTGTATTCAGCAAACAACTTTTTATATGATTCTCGAGCTTCTGCCGCTTGATCAGTATACATTTGTCTGTCTTCAACAGATAAATTAGCCCATTCAGCACTAACAATACGATTTCTTTCGCCGAATGGTTTTGATGCAATAACCTCTGATTCTTGTCTACGTTTTCGCATAAATAAATTGAATGCTGACAGTGGTCTTCTCGGTGCATTTTTATCATATGGAGCTTTTCGCATATTGCAGATCTGGAACTCTCTCTCTCTCTCTAAAAAATCAGTAGAACATTCAATAAACAGTTATCCCTAATATAAATTGGCGAATTTCAACAAAAGCGTCCCAAGAGGGTAAACGACCCAATGACCTTGGAAGCATTCTGGTCATTGGCTAACGACACCTGTCATTTACATAATGGAAATGTCAACGCTACTCACCCAGATCACGTTTTTAAGTACTGTTTGGACAATGTGTTAATAGTTCGTTAGGGTTATGATCGGGGTCGTAATTAAGATTAGGGTTAGGGTCAGGAATAAGGTTCCTGTTACGGTTAGGGGTAGATTAACAGTTGATGTTATTGATTTTAATTTGTTTCCTTATCCACATTTCCCTGATAAGTAGTCGTCGATCCTCTTACTAGAAATCGTAGTAATTCAACCGAGGGCTTTTGGGGAAGACTGTAAATGAGGATAACACAGATAAACGATTCAAAAAAACAGCTCATCTTCAGTCACGTCGGTGAATACATGTACAGAAACTAGTCTAACCTTAGCAACTGATACTGCTCATTATAACTGGGAAGTATTTTTAAGTCATATCAGAGAAAGATACCCTGTTTAATGCGTTTTCTTGTAAATATACGTCAATTTTTGTGCAGAAATTCTTCAGTTCTATGATTGGCCGGCTCAAGGTCACTCGTATGTTCGCATACCTTGGGACGATATTGTTGAACTTTGCCTATAAATTTATTTTCAAAATACTGTTTATGTGATCCGGCTATAATGTTACTAGCAGTCCATCATTTGTACTGATTGTAATCACAGTATACCTACTAAGAAGTCTGAGAACCAATAAAATCGATGGTCAAATACACTTGGAGTCACATACTAACAAAAACAGGCTTTGGGACAGGACTAGAGTATATGCATATTTTCACAGCTCAACAGATTCTGACTGACTGACTAGTTTCAACATAGAACTTTCCACCGGTGTGCAGCAGTTCGAGTCGTCACAATTCACTTAGCACACAAATCAAGAGAAGAAGGTAAAAACAATGCAAAACGGAAACAGTAAACAGAGAAATGAGGCAAAAAGATGAGTAATATGGAAGAACTATATAGTATTAGATAGTTGTAGGCAATCGGCAGGAAGCCTTGGACCTAGGTTTCGCGCTAGTTGGCACTCATCAGCAAGGCGTATCTGCAACCTTGAAGAAACTCATGTCCCTTCTGAGATTCGAACCCGCGTCACCCAGTGCTGCAGTCCAAGGCTTCCTGCCGATTGCCTCCAACTATCTAATATCATCAAATCAACGTGCACCGTGATGGCGAGTTACCTAGAATGGTGGCCATATTGCAAAACCTGACTGATGGAATTTAGTCTTCACCAAAGAAAGGACTAGACACGTCACACTAGTTACTAGTGTCCAATCCAAAAGAACTATATAGTTTTATTGGAAATTGAAACTCACAAGGAGTGGATGCGTATGCGCCACTGCGAACGATTTTGAGTCATATCACCAATTGTCTCCAGCCTTCATTGGTTTTTACCATCCCGTGAACTCCAACCAGTCAGGAAATCTACATCTTCCTACGTGACTTAAACTAACTGTTGTGGATTTCATTGAATGATGGAGCCATTTTTTTGGTTTGACCGCCGCTACCTCTTTTCTGACTTAACTCTATGTCAGCTAACATTCCCCGTCGACGAATGCGATGCCTAGGCATGCGTAACACATATCCTAGACATCTCAGTCGATGTAGCCGCACAACCTCTGCTATTGATTTCCCCTCTTTACCTAGCACTCGACGCCTAACCTCAAAATTGCTCACCATATTTTACCTCTTCACACGCGAGATAGAAGGCAGGCACTTATGATCAAAGACAGCTAGAACAAATACAGAGTCACCGGTGTCCTACAGTTGACATACTTCATCACCTAGTAGCAGTATTCGAATCCGTCAACCGAGAGGTGACGTGGCAATGCTTAGCCGTGGAGTACCGACAAAGTGGATTGCACTAATTAAAGCATCCAAACCACTCTGACTCACACAGCCGTGTAGGACGATACGAAAAGGTATAACCTAAAGTACTGACAATTAATGGTCTCCTTAAGAAAACCCAATTGCTATTTTTAACTTCATCATTGATATATTAATGGAGTGAATTAGGGATTAATTCATCAATTGATTATTGCTGACAGAGTACTCAGCTGATATCGTCCACCTAATTGAAGGCCCTGACAATGCAGGGTGTTTGGCATGTCATCTGCTTCTGTTAGAAACACTCGTCACCTCTCTTTTACGGGTGTATTTTTCATGTTGAAGCTGCTGACAAATCCAGTGAATGGCAGTAAATGACCATCAACCAAATTTAATCTGTGCAATGGGCCTGACTACCTAACATACCATTTAAGTGCTTGTAAACATATAAAGGCAACACTTCTAGAGAATATACGATGGAACTGTAAGACCAAAGGTATACTCAAAACATACATTGACTGTGACACTTCTAGGTTCTCTATACTTCACATGACGAATATTTCCAGCCTATTCCAAATTCGCTATTGTTTCCAAACAAAAAGTATTGAGACAGATTAGTGCAACATATATGCAGAAATTTTCTCCAAATCCCATATATATCCTAAAATTTACTGTGCAATGTAGACAACCGTGTTGGAGGCTTTCGGGGATTTGCACTAATCAGATGTATCATTTGAGAATTTTGGTGTCAGAACATTGTGTCATGCCATTTTAAGCTAAAGCCATAAAACTTTCACGTCAGTTATATGTCCGTGAAATATCAAACTGCTAGGCATTTAGAAGTATCTGTGCTATAATTAATGCGCGTCCCAAAATCATAACAATTTCCCTGAGGTCAATACTACCCCAAAAATATTTGGAGCATTTCGGGGGATTCAGCGACTTTTCTGGAGTATTCCTCAGACTTTTATGGGTTTTATTTTCAGGGAAAATGCTGCATTTCTCCAAAAATCGACTCAAATTTTTCATTTGCACTAGTCAGGAGCCCAATAATAATTCTCATATACATATATACGTATATATATGTTCGAGATGTGGCCACCATTCTATGTGTCTTGCCATTACGATGCATTTTTGAACTGTTGGCATAAGATGGTTGGAGGCAATCAGCAGGAAGCTGATTCATGCCGATCGACTCCAACTTTCTAATGACATTAGAAAGTTTGCAGTAATTCTAAACTAATTCTAACTCAAGCGTCAATAATGCCTTTTCATGTTAAATGAATATTTCATCTGCCTAAAATGAACGTACGTACGTACGTCGTCTCATATATGAGACATAAGACGACATAAACAGAGAGAAAATGAATATTATCTTATGCCTGTTTTGGGTTGACTAAACAGGCAAATGATATCGACCAGTAACAAATGAAAAATTAGCTTGGAGAACTCAATATTTAATTACTCCGACTTACTTACAAGTTGAAAACAAAGCCTTCGCAAAATATGTAACGCAAAGCTTGACTGGCGCGCACTTAGAACTCAAGGAATTTCAGATTCAGATTTATTGGTTGAAGATAGAAGGCTTGGAGCCTATGTTAATCCTTTTCTAGTAAATTTCTTGAACGAATCAGTTGAGGTTGCAGACACCGCTTCTTCTGGGAGTCGGTTCCAAGAGTTTATGTCTCGATGTGGGAACCAGTACTCAACAGCAATATGATTTCTTCTTGGCTTTTGAACTCTCCTGCTATGTCCTCTAAGGTGTTCCGACCTGGTGGGAGGAAAGAGAGAGAATAGGTCAGGTCCGTAGTCATTACCTAAGATTTTGAACATTGTGATTAAATCTCCTCTCTGCCTACAGTTTGACAGTGAGAAGGGATTTAAACTGTCTAGTCTTTCCTCGTATGATAATTTAGTCATGCCGTGAACCATACGTGTTGCCTTCATTTGAACCCTTTCTAGAATGTGTGAGTCCCCTTTTAGACAAGGACTATCGGCCTGGATGCAGTTTACCAGTCTTGACCTCACCAGAGGTGTATTTAAGGAGGTGGACATATCTCTGGTGATTCTAGTGAAGGCCCTGCGAACTGCCCATAATTACCTGAAACTACGTGCAGCCACCGCGAGACAGTGTGCTGTAGTTTTTAAGTCAACTGAGATTAAAAGGCCTCAAGTTTGAGTTAATCGTTTTCTATTGCATATCTGAGTGGAGATAAATCGTGGAAGTGAGGGGTTATTCTAGGGTTTGGAGATGGCATTAAGGGCTCGATTATGGTTTGGAGTTGCGGAATAAGGTTATAGAGGGGATATGGTCTCAGTGTGGCTCGGAATCGTCCTACTAAGCACTCCGAATGTCCAAATACACAGTTCATCAACAAATACATGGGTTTTTCAGTTCTGTCACCAGATTGTAAGTTCAGGGTTATTTATTGGCTGCTGTAGCTTATCTCCACCGAAACTTGCCCTTACCTAATCTCTTGAGACAATTTCACGGAGGGGCGAAGACCACTTCTACTGGAAGTCGGTTCAAAGGGCTGGTGACTCAGTAGGCAAACTAAGTCCTAACATTGAGTGCTGAAAACCATAACAAGTGGGTTTCACGAAATTTTCCGGTGGGGTACGAGATATGGGAGATTCTATGAAGTGTACTTTTAACAATTTAAATGATGAATATGTCCAGTTGACTGATGAGGCAATGAAATCAGAAACTACTAGACATTGACATCCACGATCCTAATTTCGCTTTGGGAAAGCTGTCTGTGCGGTTAGAACTATGATTCATTGCTCTGAAATCTGTGTCTTCTAACTTGCATCAGTCCCTAGAGTAAAAGTGCCCGTGTATCACTTTGGGATGTGATAGTTTTTATGTTTATTAAACTTATTTAAAGACTTTTCTGTAGATGCACTGTTTACCATGCGTCGGTGGCACAGTGGTTAGGACTCTCGCCGACCATGCACATGGTCCGGGGTTCGATCGCCTACCGACGCACACCCGATATCTATGGTCGGCCTGCAAAATTTGGGCTACCGATATCCGTGCTGAAAATTCCATACTTGTACTGAAAATACGGTGTGGCATCAAGCTGTAATCAAAATATTAAAAAAAATATAAAAGTATAATATAAGTTTGTCTTGCTCCACTGGGCCGCTTTAAGGTGCATTCGAGCACTTGAACCATTATTTCCTAAATTGCCTCACCTCTTGTGTTTCAAAAGAAAAGAATTTGGAAATTATCTGCTGGAAATCATCAAAATTTTTCATGTCAGAAGAACAGGCATATCTGGATATGTGATTAATGGGCGTTGATATGGCATTTCCTCTGTTTGAAGGGGCGCTTCCAGCTTTACCTTGAGGACATTTGCGCGGTCTAGTTGATTTCAGTTTGGCTGATTTGTTTCGTTCGATCTAGGTAGCTGCATTTGGCGTGATTCTGGTTTCTATTTGGCTTGAACTGTGTTGATTTTGTTAAGAATAGTCGTCAAAAGCTGTCTCTAAGCCTGAAGGCAGTTATCATGCAGGAGGATGCTTGAGAATGTGTTTCATGTCAAAATTATAGGGTGCACCTAAAATCCTTGGTGTTAACTCCTGTTTGTGGCGTCTCAATGATTTCTGCAGAGCTTCGTTTTATCACTTGTGTCCATATTTGTCGCTCACAAGCCTTTCAGTAAATGTTTTTGGCCATAATCAGGAACTTTCCAAAACTGTAATTGTGGAAGGAATTCCGCTACAGTTTCCAAGTCAATGTCACTTTCAAGCCGCTTATTGTACTCTGTTGGCTATTCGTGAATTTTTAATTCAAAAGCTTCTGTTTTCATTTACAGTGGTACCGAATGAATGCATTGGCAGCTGGAGACAATGTCAACCAACCTCCACTTCCTATATCAGTGGATATCAAAAAACCTTTTGACGAAATTATGTTTAGTCACCGGTATATTAGTTGGGTTCAAGTGGAAGATTCTCTAAGTCAGCTAGAATCAGTACGATATATATGTATCACAGAGTATTCTTAGGCAACTCATACACATTATGTAATCGAGAAGTGCATACGGAACCGTGAATCTCAGGAGTTGAAGTACAAATTAGTAGTCTTTCGTTGTACATATGGCATGAAGCGAAAAACTAGAGGTTCAGATTTACGCGTCAAACCGTAAGAATTCTATTATTTATTTCTGCAGTGCAGAATACACCGGTTGCCAATCTGGCTTTCGTATACGCTACAAGGAGGACGAGTTTATCATTTCTTCAGCGAAAACAGTTCACGATCACTGATGTGAACAAAGTTTTATGATAGGTGATCCATATTTTAGACGCCTGTCCGGGGATGAAACGGAGAATATTGCACCAGTTGTGAAGACTACATCTGAGGTTGATGATGTTTTGCGATATGCTGAAGAGAATTTTAATGAAATTTTGACGAGCACAGATGTGTATAATTTACGTAAGGATGTGAGACCAGGTAAATGATGTAGTTTAAAGTTATTTTGGAAGCCATGCCTTTGAGATCAGATGTTATGCACATAATAAGGCAAAGCGGTCAGGTGGTTGAATACGTGGATTCGAATACAGGGATAACCAGCAGAATTTGCTTCGCACTGGAATCACAGATGCAGTTATATCAGAAATATGGAGAGGTGGTGTGTACTGACTTAACATACAATACCAACAAGGATGGGTAGGTTATACGTGAAACGGTTGACAAATCTTAATCGGATATTCTCTGTTTCAGTTGGTGGTAGTGGGTGTTGCCATCCTTAATAACACTTGCCATCACAATTCTGATTGGAAATCCATTGCCCTACTGAAACACCATCCACGAGATATCACGAGACCTCTTCTCAAACAAAGAAGCTTCCAAGAGAAAAATATCTATTGATCTCGTGATAATGCTGGTGTTAGAAGGTGCACTTCTTGAATACAAAATATGTAAGTCTTGTAACAGACATCAACGAGTGAAACTGCCACTTGAATTAACACACCTGGTTTTAGAATAAACGCAAGTCATATGGACACTTAAGACTTTTTTCAGTGGTAACTATGTTGAATCGTGACTTGTAATTCGCATGTTTAGTTATTACTTTCCTCGACAAACAATGTAGCCCAAGGTGAAATCGATTTCGAAAGGAGTTGGGGTTGATTTTGTCAAGACACACCATCACTGAATTCAATCACTGAACATAAATTTTACTGCCTTGGCAGTAACGAATTGAATTGATTGGGATTCTCAAGAGGCACTGAACCAGTGGCTGAAGACATTTAGTGAGACTGCTTAAAACGATCGACAACTGCACAGATGTATTTGCCCCTGTAATTGTACTTTTTCGGAAATTATTAACCAATTTGCACTCATTCACTTCTCCGTATCTGAACACGTTCCAGTTCCTGCAAGTTTAGGAAGACAATCAATTCCTCGGGACTCACACCATTACTAGGTACGAATACTGCTCACATTCCTGCTGCCTAAAAGTCTTGGAAGCCACCGTGAAGTGGTGGATGATAAGGGCGAAAGAAACGGAAGAGGCATTAACAGCACATGAAACCAGATGACTATTCAGACTAACTGGGCAAACAAGACTAGGTACTGAGGCAGTATGTGATTCGGCCTTAGTTCGCTCATTGGAAATACCGTATTGTGAAACAGTATTGTTTACTGGATGAAATTTCGGAAATAATTTATTGCTCTTCTGTGGCTTCACAACTTGTTTCCTTTTTGTCGTAGGGGTAGCAGGATTTTCGAGATGCCCGTACACGTACTCAGTCATTCCCGGTGAATGTACTTTCAGCTGATTCGATAAACCAAGTTTAAAAACCAGTCTCTGTGCCACATTATTTTGCTAGATTTTAAGCATGTCACCTTGCCCCCATCCCATTGTTTGGTTGCGTATGGCTGCATGTAGTGTCACAGCTATTTACTTTGCAGATTTTCGACCTTAATACAGTCGATTAATCCAAATTTCTCTAGGCTTTTGTGCTCCTCCAATCTGATTCACCCGATCCTAATACTCTGACCAATATACTTGACTTAACAGTCCCCACAACGTATTAGACTAGACAGGATTCGGATCGCTGGCCTCCTGAATACAAGTCCACTGCTCTACTAACTGAACTACGGGACGTAGTAGTGGAATAATCACCAGACAGAAAGAGCATTCGGATTCTATTTCTGGGCGATGTACCCCTACACCTCACCTAGCAGACAGTAAGTCTGGGAAATCGGAAAGGTAGGGCGTCACATTTTAGAAACCTACTTTTCCATCAAAACAATACCTAAAACTGCCGACAGCTAGCCAGCGTTATTGTGAAAACCCGTTTTGAAACTTTATTTTTGAAATATCTGCAAGGAAAGTGGGAAACATAGTCAAACGCACAGAAGGGCATTCATCAACTGATAAATAAAGAAGGCCTCATAAATTATACAGAAGTTATAACTTTTAACTGATCTCATCCTTCTTAATTACTTAATCACTTACTACATCTGAGCAGCCATAACACTCTGTCTTGCGGAGGCCCTAGAACGTCTTCAACCACACCCCATAATCAAACAA